GTTATTTTGACAGCAGACTGGTGAGCCTCAAGAGAACAATGCACTCAGGATCGCAAGTCGGCCGCCATTGGGTCACTCGTTGCGTAGGGTTTAGTGCTGCAGGCGATGAATGGCATTAGGCATTTGAAATGTCGAGGCGAGTCCTTTATTGAAACTTGACTGCTAATGAAATTAATGTCATATTAATGCTCGGAACTATACAAAAAGAGTACCCTCGGAAAACACTTCTTACTGGCGATGAAGAATTGGTCAGTGAATGATTGTTACATAAATTAAGCAATCTTTAGCCATGTTTAGGACTATAAGGTTTCACTTGTTAGGTTTTAATCGATTAAACTTAATAATTATTTTGTCTCATTCCTTCTGTAAAGAATGTCACCGATAACGAACTAGAACATTTATGAAATAATTTGATAACACGTCACAATTAAATGTCGATGCTGAATAACTATTCTTCTACACTTGTTTTATATGAGTTACCAGTTCATTTGTTGCACATCCATCCCATTTTTTTAAAAGATATCGTGACACTATCCACTATGGAGCTGTAAGTCAAGTGAGAACGATAACTATTCAGAGCACACGATTCAGATCTCATGACCAAAAGTCGTGAGGCTGCTCATGAAGCCAAGTACTCTTTTGCATTTAAGAAAATATACTTTCGTGTCCACTATCGTTTTGCATGTACTATCCACATAATTATTTTTCCTCGTTCATTTCAATTTTTATCGTAATTTTTGGGCATTAATTGGTTTTCTGTTTAAGAGAGAGCCATATTTTTTCAGTGTTACTGCATTACCTCGAGGAGAAACAAGTTATTCATTGTTTTAAAATTCTCTTAAATTACTGATTTGGGACTTCGTGTTCTACATAGCGCGAACAACTGTCGAGTCAATTCAGAATACTGCAAACTTTGCTTGTAAATCATCGCGTTCCACCTCGAAAAGTTTGTTCCAGTTAATGGAGTCAGGATGTAGTTCCCAAGAGACCATATGTCTTCGGGCATATTTAATATTACTCCCGTTCGAGATATTTTCCGCATGACGGGAGTTCGTGACGGGCGCTCGAAACCTTAATTCCGATTTGCACGAAACGAGTCCAGTGGAGCATATGGCACTTGCAGCACTCGTGGTTAAACACTGAAGCGACCACTTATTCTGGCTAACCCGATAAAATGCTGCGAAACAGCTTCGTGGAGATTCACTTTTCATGTCGAGGGAGAAGGCCAATGCGGGCCGGTTATCCCACGCGCCCAAGAAAGCGACCACGATTAAGGCAATCGCCTCCGCCTACTTTCGCCTAGACGTGTTGGGAAGGAGTCCCGCGTGCCATTCTTGGAGCATCTCACCTGCAACAGGTTGTAGGTAGTGAACACGTGAAGGTGTCTGAAACGGAGAGCTGGTAAACGGACAAACGAAAATAAGATTCGAAGATTCGACACAATCTAGTGAGTCTCATTCAATCGCAAAATCAAATTCGATACAAATTATTTTTTTGCAATTTTCAAAATTTCGAAGGTTTTAATGAAAATAGTATTGACACCATTCTTAACAGCGGACTTTTTTATTTTCAAGAAAAACTTTAGAATAAAATTGTACTCACTTTTGAGAAAATTCGAAAATGTAGGTATTTTGATATAAAGTACCCCTAAAAATTGAAATCAAAGTCCCCCGTTTGAAGTTCAAGAGACCCTGACATCATTCTCGTTGATCGGGAGATATTCATTATGGTGAAAGTCCTAAGTACGGTTTACGTGCGTCAGGTGGTCGCAGGCGGTCGCGAGGCACAGGCGGTCGCGAGCGGGGTGGGGACTCACAAACAGACGTTTTGCCAAAAACAGTTTCAGAATCAAGAAATACCAAAACACGGATTTTGATTCCACAGTGTATAAGGGACAGAAGAAATCACTTTGTGGGAGACAACCAATTCGTGATTCTGTCAAAACCATCACAATTTACAGAGTAACATTACTTTCTCAATTCGGAGTATACGAGATCGCAAATAGTTATTCTTCAATGAGAGCTATACGTAAGTAGCCAATTTTCCTTTAGGGGACATAAAATGACAAAATACCAATTCAAAATACATAATTAGTCCATGTAACGAAGCTTGTAGTGCGTGCACGCCAGTGTCTTCCAAATTGTATTACTTACTAGTCTTGGTGGCCATTAATCCCAATTTTAAGAAAATTTGTAATAGTAAACCCAAAAACTTCAATTCTTTGAATTTCCTGTTTTTAGTCGTAGAATTGTCATGACCAATTTGTTTCGTAAATTGAATTAATTGAAATCTCACTGATTTCCCTGCGTAGCCCGTGAATAGCCCCGCCTATCCATCGCCCGCAACTCGCCCTTCCCTCCCGCCCCCGCAAGGCCGCCGACCCGCACAGCGCACTCTTCCTGCCAGCCCACGCCTTGGTATCTCCGCCACAGGAGCACCACCCCAGCAGGGACGAGCTCGAAGCTCCCGGCTGGTATCCCGATATATTTGGTATTTTAATGCGCATGACTGTAAATGTATGAGTATGTGAGAAAAGGAAAGAGCAGGGGTCAATGATAAGGAAAGAAAGACCGTGTCTTAATTGTAAGGATTCACATACGGCATTCGCCCGGCATTAATCTGAGAAACCACGAAAAACTTTCCACCCAGAGTAGCGGGCCGCTAAATTTCTCCTGCAGTCAGGGACTGAATTCGTCCTAGCTATCTAGCTAGTGTCGAAAATCTGCCATGCTATTAGTTATCAGCCTGTTTGATAACTAAAAACCGCTGATATGTGGTTAAAGATATTTTCGAACACTTTATGTAAAGATTTCTGTTTACCATCGACATGTAGTCTCCATTTATTTATTTTACAACTATGCCCCCTTCATATCAAATCGACCAAAGCTTTCAAGGAAAGTATTGTTTTAAGAAGCCTTCAGGAATAACTGCTTTTCTTTTAGAGAGCTTCTGGGCACTTAATAATGATGAAATAGCTGTTAGGTTGTGCAATCACCTAAGATACTCTCTAGGTTCTGCATTCCAGTTGGAGAGAGAAAAGGAATTTATTTGCCAAGATGTTTTTAACGAAATGGATAACATATTTTAAAATATAAACAAGAAACATTAATTACTAAGTTCTGTGTTCGACAATTATATCAATATCAGTAAGAAATTTTTAAATAAAATTTTCTTCCCCCGTAATAATCTTAGATGCATTTTCTTCTGTGTCGAATACTTGCAATTTTCCAACTTTCTTTAGCAGATGCGAAAATTAAATAAATTTCATAATGAGAAACGTATTTCAGACGAAGAAATTTAAAAGAGAGAGAAGTAATTAAGCCAAAATTTCGTGTGAATAGATTAGGAGTTGCCTTGCCTCTAACAAGTATACTATTAAGAATGTCATTCAATTTCTATAGTTTGCCAGGTAGGGAGCAACGTCACTTCCAGCATACTGGATATGTTCAAAGTCTGTTGCTTGTTGCAAGGTTCAAAGCAAAGCAAAGTTCTAATTGTTGAGAGACATTTCATCATCTACCAAATACTTCTGACATAAAAGTGGTAAAGAAAGTAACGATAATGAAGTAGGCTTACTGAAAAGTATTGTGAAAGTAATGACTGACTAAAGTATTTGTCAATAGGAGGTTTTTTGTTTTTAAGAAAAACAAATTACTATATTAAAACATTTTTTAATTTAACAGTCCTCTTTTTTATAAGAAATGCCCTCTTTCTCCGTAGTAGAAATATGGACACCCGAACAGTGACACACTGAGTATTAGAATTCAGTTGGTATGCGCAGTATAAAATAGACGGAATAACGAAGTCAAATTTTTGCATTTTCCGTTCTAAATACAAACTGTTTCGTTGTTTTTGTATTTTCTCCGAGTTCCTGGGTCTCTAACAAAACTTCAGTCACCTCTTACATGGCCGGAAGCTGCATAGATTTCTTTCAATTTCTGCGCGCATTGATAATTAGTAATACAGAAGAGGAGCAAATGATATGTTTTCTTTTCATGAATCTTAGATTCCTATCATAAGTTGTCCCAATCATGTGGTATAATATACTAAATCATTTCATTCTTCAAAATTATGATGTGATCATTACAGTTCTTTTCTAGGCAATTTCTACGGCACATTTTGGTGCATGCTGACTCAACGTAACACGGTGGTGTCACGTGAGAGAAAATGCAAGTTGATCTGGTAGTTTCAGGTCCACTCATCATTGCCGGATAATTCATAGACGCCGAAAATCCCACGCCAGACGCAGTGATTCCTCCAATCCCAGTATCGCAAGTTGCGTGCAGGTGGTTCAGCCACGCCGACATGAAACGGCGCGTTGGCAAAATACTAATTGTTCGAACCGAGCACCCAACCGCTACTGCAGGGTGGCGCGCGGAGAACGGTACAGGCGCCCAAGTGGGCGGCAGTGCGAGCAGCTCACGGCGCGCAGCCGGACGCG